TAAAATAAGTTTTGAAAACAAATAAAAAATATGTTTGGATAATTATTATAAAAATTATATTTAAAAATAAACATAGTCAGATCAGAGGAGAAGTTTCCATAGAAATTTAAATTCTCAAATTAAGAAAAAGCTAACTGAATGGAGATCAGAAGAAAGTGTTCTCCAATTTTTCCAAACAAAAATAAGAAATGCAAACCAAAATAAAAAAACAACAAAAAATTATTTTGGTTTTTTAATTTTTTAAAAATGGATTTTTGTTTTGTTAAAACACTTAATTAAAAAAATTACCAAAAAAGGTTTTTTTTAGCGAGCCAAAAAAGGTTTTTTTTAGCGAGCCAAAAAAGGTTTTTGAATAAACAAAAAAGGGTTTTTGAAAGAAAACAAACAAGGCCATAATTATTTTTGTTTTTAAATAAAAGATATGCACACTTTCATTGTTTTTATACTATTCCCAATTATGTTTACTTTATACGACAAAAAAAAAAAACTATGAATAGAACTCTTAGTCACTTTTTCAATACTATATTTAGATTTTAATTAAAATATACTAGCTATTTCAATCATTTTAATTATGTTTCTGAATATATTTATACTCCTAAACTTTTAAACAAAATGTTATTTTATACATACTCTTGAAAAATGCCAATAATTGCAAAACAACTTTCTGAATTACACATTATTTATTATTAATTAATATATCTTAATGTTGGTTAAGGTTGACATCACAAAACAGTGTGAAGTTAGTATATTCTAAAAAAATTTCAAAATTTTTTCCTGAACCCCAGAAGAAATAAAATAGAAAAATAATGACAAAACAGAGGAATAAAAAAATGAGCTTCAAAAAGGCATTTGAAAAAGATGAAGGAGATAAATACATGAATATTTATATTACTGCAACCCAAATTATCAATTGATCTACGTCTAATTCTCAGAAATATTTTAAGACTTTTCACTATGCTTAAGCAAGTTTAAAATTGAGTACCTACCAAATTATAGTACAACTGGAAGACTGACTTAGTTTTGATTTCTATTCTCAACCATTACAGTTATTGAACCCAGCTAATCCACTCAAGAAGATATCACACCTTGGGTAATCTTTACATCCTCGTTTTTAATTAATAATTTGGATCAAAATAATGTTCTCACAATTTTTTATACTTAAGACGAAAGCGGAATGCAATATCAAATGACAATTAAGTTTCAAATTACTAAGATAAAATTCTTATTTATTTCAATGCCATTTTGATAACATGATATATGATCGTGAAAAAAAGTTGATTTTAAAAAAGAAAAAATGACATAAAAATACCTGTTAAATTTTAAAAAGATAAATAAGTCATATTGACTATTATTGCAATGATTTTGACTACACTTATAGTGATTTTTACAATTCAAAAATCAAAATGTTTCAAAATCACCTATTTATCATTTTAAAATTCAACAAGTATTTTTCTGTTATTTTTTTTTTCAAAAAAGCGCATAATATGTAGGTGTCCTTTGGTTATTGTGATGCATAGGATCACCCCTCCAAGCTCCATCCTCCCTTTCCGTTGCACCATTTGTAATTTTTGGGCTAAAACTATTTTGTTAATACATGGTCAGATTAGATGAGGAAACAACAAAATCAAGTTTAACTAACAGGAATTAGATCTAGTTGGAAAGACACTGAAAAGAAAAAAAGAATAAGAATAAGAATTGGATCTAATGAAAAAACTAACTAGCTTCTTACAACATAGTGAATAAATGTTTGAATCTCTTTCAGAGATATGTTAATATTTAGTATCTAGTAGTGCGTCAAACAGGCCTCTAATAAAATGATATACCTAATATTTTTTTTTATCTGAAAAATGATACCTAATATAAACAATGTTATATGATACCAAATCACCTTTAATTTAATTTGTCTATGTTTCTTCACCGTCATCATTAGTTTTCATTACATATATAGAATTCCTAATAGTAGCCAGGACTTTTGGAGTTATAAACTTGTGAGTTTCAATTTTAAGCTCTCCTTCTTTTTCTTCATTCACAGTTTCTTCTCACACCATTTCGCTCTTCGTTTTGAAGGCCCTTCCCTGTTCTTTAGCTCAAGACATTTTTCAGGTGAGTTATAAATTTGATAGGTCTCTCTTTATTTCTCTATCTTCTTTAGCTTCATTGGATGGTAAATGTTAGGCATATCATTTTCTTTTTCCAACTATAGAATCTATTGGAAATCTCTGATTAATAAGTGAATCTTTAAGGCACATGTGATTCAGGATCATCATCAACAAATTACTAAATTAGTAAAGTAGATAAATGAATTGAATACCTACATCACAATCTTTTCCCAACGTAAATATGTCTATATTTACTATATATGATTCATAATATACGTCTAATCTTTAACTTCATAAGCGGCATTAAAAAAAAAAAAAACCTTTCATAACCGATGTAGATTTTTGCTACCTGCACTAATGAGAATTCAAGTTTAGTTTAAGATCGATCTTTATGGTTGGAAGTACTTTAGATAAACTAGATGACTTTGCTTTTCAAAATGCCTTTAAAACTCTTTTTATTAATTCAAATATTTTGAAAGTCCGCAATTGCTACAAACTAAATCTTATGTATATATGTGTGTGCGTGGGTGTGTGTTTGTGTGTCGATATCATACCCATTTTCTATCTATACTTTGAGCTTTTCCTTGAAAATCATCCTGAAGTATAGATATTATACTCCTCTAATCTTTAATATAGGATCTAATTATTAAGTTGATTTTGATCTTAAATGTAAGACTCATTTATCATATTTATCAGTTTTTTCTAAATTACCCTATTGATCCTCTTTCAAGCATAATCAAGTAACAGAAGGAGGAAAAATATTAAAAAAGATAATTATGGTGTTTTAGGAAAAACATGTCATGTTGCTTATAATTAACTAATTTACCTAATTTTTTTAATCTAATTAAATTAGTTAAATATGTTTTATATTAGGGATTGGAGGAGTATATGATTTACAGGTGTCAAAATTTCTCCCAGCCACCAAAATTAATATATGATATAGTTATATATTGATAACTGTTTTTTTTTTGGGAAGAATTTTAATTAGGTACGTGAACAGATAATTCCTACTAAAACAATGTTTGGCATAAGGGGAATTTAGGAGAAGGGAAAATGAGAGATTTTGCTCCCTTTTGTTTGGTATGAAAAATTCATAAGATAATTAATCAACAAGTCCTTTTAATTTTTTAACTCGTTTCTAATTAGGTTCCTATATTTTTTTATCAGGTTTCTATTTTTTTCCTTTTTATCATGTTCCTATATTTTTCCTTTTATCATTTTACCTGATAGTTTTTTTTTTTTACTAAAATCTGATTTTTAATTAAGTCCTTATAATTTTAAGTGATTGATAAAAATATTAAAATAACTTAAGAACTTGATTAAAAACATGTGAAATTATATTAAGACCTAATAAAAAATTAGAGAATTTGATTAAAAAAGGGTGAAATTGTAAGCATCTAATAAATAGAAATATTACCATAATTTAATAAAAATTCAAGCGAAATTACAGGGACTAACATGTTAAATAATAAAAAAATTTATAGGAGGGTGGGGAAAATTTTCTAGACTATACTTTATTCTTCATCTATGTTTATTTTCTAGCTTGTCAGAGATTCATTTATTCTGATAGCTAGTGTGATTAAAGTCCTTCTTTATTTGGGCAGATTCAATGTGGGAATCTTTGATTGGGTTCCTCTTACAGTGGGGAGAGACTTCAAAGGCACAAAGATCTCAAAGGAAAATAGTAAAAAGCTCACAAAATCTTTGAGAAATAAATGTAGGCCACATGACTAAAAAACTACCATAAATAATCTTTCTGTGCCGTATGTACTAATATATTTTTTCAATTCTAAATATAAGACCTATTTTATAATTTAATTTATACTACAAAATGAATCATACATTTATGATAAGAAAAGTACTTTTTAACAAAATAGTTTGTGCTAATTGATAAAGTCATAGATGATATATGAATTTCTCATGATTAACATTTACAAATTTTAAAAAGAAACATAATATGATATTTCATAAATTTTTTAAAATAATAGAACACGATATGATATGATACCAATAATTTTGAATATCAGCTAAGTTCCGAGTTATAATCATACTAAAAATTTACCAAAATATTAGTCGTCTCTCTCTCTCTCTCTCTCTCTCTTAAAAAAAAAAGAAAAAAACAAATGCCTATTTCTGTTTTCCACCCAAAAGAGTGAGCATTAACTTTTTCACGCACTGGTGGTATGGTAAGTGAGCGTTTGGAGAGTAAAAGGAATTCACGTATAATGCAAGAAATCCCCATGCTGGGCCTATCTATCTCCCGAGAATTCAAATTTACCGACACTGCTGATCAGAGAGAGAATCCCAAATTTCACACGACAAGCCAAACACAGAACACAACAAACAGCTATCTCACAAAACAGAAAATAAAATCTGTTCAGTCCCTCCCACCTTCATTTGTCTCTGAATAAGCAAAAAAAGATGAAGAGGATAAATGAATCACACGAGAGAGCAATTAATTTCAATGCGAAAACTGGGTTGTGATTGTGAGTCTGAGCTGGTTCGATCACGTACCTTCTCATGGCTCCTTAAAAATCACCAAAATTCAAACAGGCAACTTATGCATCTAGCTCTATATATATACGCATATAAAAGTAGACCTTCACTTTGGAACTAGATAATTGCTAGTTGCTTTCGTTTCATTTATTTATTTCTTCTGGTATAATCATAAGGGTACCTTTTCTTTTTTGGGTGGAAGCTGCGAATTGGGCATTAGTCTTCGTCCCCATAGTCCATGACCCATTAAGATATACTACTTCACTCTGTACACAGTCATGGATTTCAGCGTTGTATTCAAGTTTCCCTTCATACCCGCGCACTAACCTAACAATCGGTTGCTTTCAAATATTATTATTATTGTTTTTGTGGGTTCGTCTCTCTGTCTCTTTCTCTTTCTCTTTCTCTTTCCAATACTTCAGTGAGTGACCGTTTTAAAAAAGTTACAGTGAGAGAAGCAGAGAGGAGAAAACAAATGAACAAGATAAGCGAGATGAGGAACAGTCTTGTTAGGATTCTCTAAAAAGTGTGGTCTTTGTTCAATCTATCTCTACAGTTGATTTGTTTTTGGTTGCCCTTGCGAGAGCCATTGAGTCTAACCCAGATAGCAGAATCTCAGAGACAGCATTCATAGCCGAGGTGTTTGTCTGGTTGACAAGTTTGAACTTTCTTTTGGATATATTCCCAAGGCATTTCAATCTTTAGATCTACGAAGCTTTTCTGGGTAATCAATTACATACCAATGCATCATCAAAATACTTCTCGGAGCTCCGGAAAAATACGATTTTGATCCATTCCCATTTCCCCTCTTGTGAACCTTTTATGTATGTTTTAATGCCCATTTGGTATCTTTTGGAGTTTCATGTGGTTTTGGCTCCCTAATTTGACCACTGGATTGTGTTGTGTTTTTTTGTGACTTTGATTACAGAGGATAGTGATTGAGATCAAAGGAGGGGTCTGAAAAGTTAGGATCCGAGGCCATTCCTTTGGAAGGTAATGCCTAATAGCTTTTGAGGATCGGATTTGTGCTTATTACGGTTCCGTTTTGCAAAAGAAAAAACCTAATACAGTATCGGTGTAAAGGTGAATGAAAGATAAAGAAAAAGAAGGAAGAAGGGGTTCTCCTTTTTTTTCCCCTCCTTGCCCCCTCGCTCCACTAATCATAAAGCTTTCATATTATTTATAAAGGGAAGAGCGTTGGCTTGGCTTTAGCATGCAAGTTGGCTCCTGCAAAAGGAAGGAGCGTCTCACCGCATTAGAATAGAATAAACCCCTCAAAGCACAATATGCAAGACATGAAGCAGAGGCAGCATCAGCAAGATAAGGAAGAATCCAAGAAGAAGGAGCGTCACATTGTCTCTTGGACTCAAGAGGTCTGTCTTTATTATTTCTTATGTTATATATTCCCCTGATTTATCTTCTATCTCTTTTGGGTATTTTCTCACACGGATTATTGAAGTTGCAGGAGGATGATATTCTTAGAGAGCAGATTAGCATTCATGGAACAGACAAGTACTGATTCTTTAACTTGATTCTTCTTCTTTTCATTTACTTAGTCGGTGGACCATTTTCTTGGATATGTGGAACTAAGAGATTTTCTTTCGATTGCAATAATCATATGCAGTTGGACAATTATTGCATCTAAATTCAAGGACAAAACAACAAGACAATGCAGGAGAAGGTGAAGTTTATGAATTGATACGTGTTTTGGTCATGTTTCTTAACAATTTCTTATTGTTTAGTCCCATGTTTTTTTTGTTTTGTTGTTATTTTAATCTGATTCCGGTGTTAAAGTGATCAATGAAATATCAGGTGGTACACATACTTAAATTCTGATTTCAAGAAAGGAGGGTGGTCACCAGAAGAGGATATGCTATTATGTGAGGTAAATTTAAGTTCCCTCTTTGGTAGTAAGTGACATATTCATGTCACTGCTATTTCTCTCAGAAACTTTGAAAATATTACCTGCTAATACTATGACAAATTTTGTATTTTGCATCAAAGCCTGGCCTACTGACTGGCCACTGTTTAAAGCGACCAATATATTTTGCATGTTCAGTTCTGTAGATTACGCTACTCATAATTCATTCAAACCTTCTTCTTCTCCTCCTCCTCCTCTGGTTTTTCGCCCTTTTGCCCCTCTCTTTCCTATGTGGAATTTGTGAACTTGTATCTTACTATTCTCTATAGGCTCAGAAGATATTTGGCAACAGATGGACAGAAATAGCTAAGGTGGTTTCAGGCAGGTAAATATTAATTCTTTCCTTCATGCAAATGCGAGGTATAGAGATTGCATTTCTAGAGAAAAGTTAGTATGAATGTACCTAATTCTACTATTTCTACACAGAACGGATAACGCTGTGAAAAACCGGTTCACCACACTTTGCAAAAAGAGAGCGAAATACGAAGCCTTGGCCAAAGAGAATAATAGTCCTCCATTGATAAATTCAAACAATAAAAGGATCATTTTCCAACAAGTCTACACTACAGATGCAGCATCAGAGGCCACAGCATCAATTAAGAAGATAAGGTATGAAATACTTTTAAGCATCAAAATATACCAAGTCTACAAAAATGAACAGTGCAAACATAGTGACGTGTTATTTTTAATTGTAATATAAAGGGCCCACATCCCTGATGCTTCAGCGAGGATCGCCTATGGAGACAGATCACATAGACAATTTGGAGCGCCAGTTAGTCAGCAACCTAGAGTGCCATTTGCTGTGTTATCTAATTTCGAGGATAACAGCTTGCACCAACGTCCTGTCTGCAGTGCCAAAGTCAGCGGTTACGGTAATGTCCTTGAAGTAAATGTTGTTGGTTATGGAAATTATTATGATGTGAAATCTGAAAGTAAATCATTAGTATATTCAGCAAACAAATCTCTGGTAAATGTTACATTCTAATATGATTCTTAATTTGTCATGCTTTTCCAGCCCAGAATAACAAGACTCAGGGAACATTCCTGAAAAAGAATGATCCAAAGATAACCATGTTGATGCAGCAAGCAGAATTATTAAGCTCACTTGCAGTGAAAGTTAATACAGAGAACATGGACCAGACTCTTGAGAATGCATGGAAGGTGAGGACTGATAGCTTCTGAACTTGCTGTTATTGAGTACAAACATTTTATGAGCTTACTTATGAATTACCTGACCAGTTAGTGTTAAAGAAAGCCCAAATCATGGAATTTTTCTCTAAAACTGCAACTGATGAAGGAACAAAGAAACATGGCATGAACCAAACCTATCTATATGGAGATCTTGAAAGTCATTTTAGCAGTTTTTCCTTAGCCTTAAAAACTCTGAAATGGCTTCATTGGTCAGGTCTGCATCATATTATCGATATTGGAGGGATCAAGCTGATCCTATCAACCCCCATCAAAAGTATCCATTTAAAGATAGCAAAAATCACGATCTATTCATGTTTATGTTGACTTCAAAATCTAAAATAGCTGTGTTTATCAGTTCGCTAGTATATAATCAATAAAAAGAAGCTTGACTTAGTTCTACTAAGCCCCCTGATCAATTCTGCTTCGCAAGTTGAGATCTATAGAACATAGGAGAAGATCTTCAATATCTTTAAGACTTCAACATACCCTGTCACATAAAAAGCCCATTCAACTTTAAAAAGTTTATTATTCAGTATAGCCCACCATCTCATATGGTGAATTTTTATTTAATTAGAGAAACTGCAGCAGCACTCTTGACTCCTCAGTTATGTTGGCTCTGATAATATGATTTTATCAGTATCTCTAACATTGTTTATTAACTTCAAGTATCTCCTAACACTTGCGAATAATGATGTTAGGTTCTGCAAGACTTTCTGAACCGAACAAACAAATCAGATCTTTCGAGATATAAAATCACAGATTTACAGCTTCAAAATCTCAAAAATATGGCGGAGGACATAAAGAGTGGTCATGAGGGGAGCCAACCATATTCAAGGTACTTTGAAATTATTGAAATCATAACTCCTGGCAGGCTTACCCCACCGAGTATCTAATACTTTCTGTATATTTTCTAGGCAACCGGAGCTACATGAGGACTCTCCAAGCAGCTCTGAATATAGTACAGGATCAACTATACTGGCCCATTCAGCTTTTGATAATTTGGAACATTCACTGCATCAAAATGTTGGAACCGAAGGGAAGCCTACAGAAAGTGAGGGGAAAAGAGGAATTAGTCGTTCTGAGAAGCAAGTTCTTTGTGCTTCGACTGCAGATCAAGGTGCTTGTCCATAGGGCAAATCAGTTACTGTTTTCCATAACATGGTAATGTGTAACATGTTTGTGAAGCAGAACTGCTAATAATACATATCTTTGTACAGCAGATATCTTGCCATCTTTTGAAGAACAGATAAACGATGATTTCATTGTTTCTGCCTTGTCAAGTAGAGAGTTCAGTTCCCCTGTTCAAGTTACTCCTCTGTTCAGATCCTTGGCTGCAGGAATTCCCAGCCCACAGTTTTCAGAAAGTGTAAGTTTCTCCAGCACATCTTGCTTAAGCACTTTTTAAGTCAATAATACTGGGCATAGCAGTAAAATCCGCAATTGTATTTATATTTCTTATTCTATCGACTTCATCAGTTGGAGAATTTTCAAATTGCTGTTTACGTCTACCTGAGCTACCTGCTCATTTTCAGCTTTTTTGTGTGGTAGACATACTGGTAGTGGTATTTTTCCTGTGCAACTTGTCGTAACAGAAACTGACAACTGAACTTATCATCATTGAGGTTTAGTATGGTAGAATCAAGGTACTTGTAAATGCAACAGTAGGTGACAGCTGCATCTCTGCTGATCATAGACCCATGAAAATTTATTGATAAATGTTCCATGGTAGCTCTAAATAAATATATTTATTGCCATTACTGCCCAAAGATGTCCTGAAACAATAATATTTAGATAGCATTCACTGAATAATTGTAAACATAATGTATTCCATTGCATCTTTTGTTGATTCAAGTTCAAAGTTTGCAGTATTAAACTCAATATTGGAGCTGTAGATAAATCGGTAAATTACAAAAAGGGCTTACCCATAACCCTTTGACCATAAAATTGCGCTAGGCCTTGCAAAATGGAGCTGGGAGGCGGTAGGGTAGGCATTTGTGTATAACTTGAAACTGTATTAGTTGCAGGATAAAGAGTCAGTTGAGAAATAATGTAAATGTACAAGATATGCAAAATAAAACTCACTAGTATGCTTTCTGCCTTGCCAAGTGGGCATGTATACGGCTCGTTAATGCATCTAGGTGGGACGGAGGAAAAGTTCCAATGATATTCATGCAATACAAATAACAACACAAATAACATGGTATTTTCCGATTCATGAGGATAGGAAAAATTAGTATTGTTAGTTTCAAAATAGGTAACATCATTAAAAGGACGTATTATGTTACGATTGTATGAACATAATAATACTAAGGCAAACCCATGTGAATACCTCTTATAGCAACAAAACATGGATACTATGTAACTTTTTGAGGCTCTTGTGTGGTCTTGGAACTTAAAGACCTTGTGGCAAAAGCTAACTGTCACAAAATTGCCAACATTTATATGGGAAAAATATATATTATACTTATTTCAAATGAATATCCAGTTCAGGTCTATTGGTCTTGCCTGCTTCTCCTAGTTCGTAATGAATAACCCAAAGAAAAAAAAAATAGTGGTTTGTTTTTATTTCTGAGACAAATTTAGTGACTACATGTCACATGTAACACACCATTTTGTTTGTTGCCTTGATAGCTTGGGATGGTACTTGTTATTTGCTGATAGAAAATCCTGATGTAAGATTTATTTTGTAACGAGATTTAGAACATAAGCTGCTAGCCATTGTCATCTTCCATGGGCAAGCAGAACTGCCTTTTTGCTTGTACCTTCAGCTAAGCTGCTAGTTTGCTAGTCCTGTTGGACAATGTGAACCGCATGTTGGCTTACAGCATAATGATTTAAAATTTGTGATTTGAGCATTATAGGACGCAAATCCCACATGGAAGCTGATACTGTTCTTCTAAATTTAAATCATCCACATGCCTTCTGGACATTGGGGGTCATCAGTCACTGCAATTTGAATTATTCACATAAAAGCACTATTTTCTTTATCAGCATTTGGCTGAAGATTACTCACTATCATACTCTTCTTTGGAACTATTGTTTTGCAGGAAAGGAACTTCCTGATGAAAACACTGGGAATGGGATCCCCATCTCAGAATCAAAGTGCAAAAGCCTCACAACCACCACCATGCAAAAGAGCCTTACTACAGAGTCTATAACCAAGATCCATCTGAAGTAGAAAAGCTTCTATGTGCCTTTCCCCCCTCTGATTCCTTCTCCCTACCTTTGGGAATCAAACACGCTGAGTACTATTTTGCATGGCGAGATGAGACTACTAAGCTTGCAAGTGCAGAGCTATATTCAGCTTAAAATTTTGCTACGCATCCCTCTCCAAGAATGTTATGGAACATTCTTGTAATCTTTAGACAAATCTAACAGTGCCTTTTACCTCCTCCCTGACACTCGCACAAAGTGTGTCATTCTTTGGTTTGTCTTAGTTTGCTTTGGTGTTCTGGGTTTGTTTTTCTGCAATCCAGCTTTTGATCTATATTTTCTATTTTGTACATAGGCTTGTGTAATTCTGAGTGATGTATACATCGATAATAGAAACAGAGATAGAGAGATAAAAAGGAAAAAAGTCCCCAGTTGCGAGAGAGAGATTTGAAGAAGATGAACCAGCTAAATATTGGATTTCTTTTTTTTTTTTTGGTTATTTTGGGCATGCATAGGGTATAGAATAATTTTTTTTCCTCCCCTTTTGGAGTCTGATGTAATGAAACTTCATCGTTGGAGTGGAAATGCATATTGGTTTTGGTGTGCACAAATTGTCCCTCTTCTTTGTTAAGCTCATAACCAAATTTAGAGTTCTCCATGCGAAGGGACGAACTCAGCAGGAACTCAGAATATCATAATAGAGTGTCCTGCCCGGAACAGAATCCACTGAACATCACTTAGAATATCAAAAGGCCAATGCCAACCAGTCTTCAGGAAAAAAAATTAAAACGAGAAGTCTCGTGCTTGATTCAGAAAGGAACAAAAACATGACAAAAGAAAAACGAAGAATTCAAAATGGCTATACTCACAGAAACTTGCATTCTGATGTTGAAGACGCATGAAGGAGCCCTGCTCTTGATCTATTTCTCATATGAACATGGCTCAATGGAGGTGCAGTAAATATGAGTGTGAATTGTGCTGTGACGATGGCGAATGGTGAAACAATAGGGTTCTTAATGGAGGAAGGAGAGTGATGAGTTGATGATGGTGGAAGACAGAAGGAACATAATAATGATGATGATGAGATATGGCAAAAGCAAATTGGCTAAAAGATGGAGGGAACTACCTACAAACTAAAGCGCATTCATTTCCCCTTAACTTTCTTGACCAAAAGGTACAATTTGACTCATTTGACCTTCTGATTTCCTCTTTGTCAATTTGGTTTCTATAAGCATGTTTTTGAATGTGCTAAAAGTTTTACGTCTAGAATAACGGCTAAAAGTTTAGATGCAGTATCTCTGCATAATATGCCATTAAGTGCTAAGATCAGATTTAAATAAGCAAAATAGTGAGAGTACTCAAAAGGTATAGAGTGTGGTTTGGACTTAAAGGTTCCAAGTTTTATGAACTTGAAGTCATGTAAACTTCAATAACTAGAAAGGAAAGAAGCATGTAATTAAAGCTCCTAAAGTAGTATATCACAAAAGGCACATGAGATTTAGTATCTTCACATCACACACAATAAAGCTCTCTCTCTTCCCCCACAACCTCTCTCTCTCTGCTCTTTCTTTCTTTTTCTTTTTTTGTTGGCCTTTTCTCTTATCCTTTCTTTAATATAAGACATTAGTAACTAAACATCATATTAATTTTCATTCTCTCACTATCCTTATTAAATATGAGTATATATAAAAAAGTATTTAATACTCATTAAAATCATTATAAGCTTACAAAAATGACCAAAGTTTTTTTTTTTCTAAAAAAAGTCTTATAATAAGGATAAGAATGAGTAATATTTATATAAAGATTTTGTCCGTATGCTATAATTTTTAAAAGTGTGGGAGAACATATTAATTGATCACTTTCTGAAAATATTGCATTAATCCACTGCATTTTTTCCTGAGCAAAACGCCAACGCCATAAAAAATTATGGCCAATTGTTATTCCTCCTGCAAAATGTTATTTAAAAACAGTAAGAATGGTTATTGGGGAAAAAAGTGTCATTATTCTAAACTTGAGAAACAAAACAACAATTTTATCCCGTTATCTTTTAACCGAATTTTTTTTTTTTACTATCTTAATTGAATGGCGTGCAATTTTTTTAATAGTTTTATAGCTTATGTGCAATATTTTTTAGTATTCTTATTTTTTGCCCATAATAAAATATAAATTATTCTCTGCATTTTTTTTGTCTCATTTAACACGAATTTTCTTTTATAAATCTAAGTTGTTATATATATATATATATATATATAATATATTATGGGTTAAGGTGTAAATTTATCTCAGAAATTTTCACTTAGGAGCGCTGTGTATCCATTTTTTTTTTTAAACTCAATGTCACCCTGGAAGTTTCCAAATCATAGCAACGTTGCTTTGGCCGTAATCTAGGCTAAATTTGACTGTTAGTTGACCAATTATACTGAGTTGGTAGGTTGATGTGTCATCCACATTATTTTCTTTTCTAGGTCAAGGTGCAAATTGCCTCGGAAGTTTACTCAAGAACGTTGAGTATCCAAAAGTTTTCAAATTATGATATTATTGTCCCAGCTATCATTCATATTAAGTTCGACCATTAACTCACCAAATATATTGAGCTGGTAGGTCATGTGTGATCTATTTCATTTTCTTTCCAAGTTATTTACTTCATTCTTAGTTTAGAACTCTAATGCCATTTCTCCCACACAAACAACTCTTTCCACACATTTGTTATTTCGTCATTGGCTCTTAGTTTGGTTCTTTTTATAAGCACAAAAGTAGAGCCAAAAAAATATAATACATAACATATGTAGAGGAGAAGCTCATGAAAATTTTTGAAAGATGAAAATGATGAGATTGATTTCAGGCATAGCCACGGGTTTGGAAAGCATAGAAACAATCATTTTCCTAGAGAATGTGCTAAATCTTCACCTTGGAAAAACGCAAAATGGATCACACGTGAACCTATAAGCTCAGTATATTTGGCCAACTGATGGTCAAATTTAATCGGGATAATAGTTAGGAGACTTTAAAACAATTTGGATAAAATATATATGGTATCTTTGTATACGACATGTAATTAAAAAGATGTTGTATAGAAGGGATTCTCCTTTCATTGAGTCATTCAATTTAACCATTGACCAAATTTGAGCTTATTTTTTAATCTTGTGTTTTAAAGTCTTCTCCCCCCCCCCCAATCACAAGCCCATATGGAGAAAATCAATAGATTTAGTAGACCAAATTATTGCATAGATATATCAGCATATAACATTTTTATGATTCAAAAATTTTTGGGGCGACATTGAATTAAAAAAAAATCCAAACATAGAGCAATCTTGAGTAAAAATTTTCAAAGCAAATTTGCACATTAACCTATGAAAAATGTAGTGGGTGACATGTGGATCCGCCAACTCAACATATGTGGTAATTAACAGCCAAACTTAACCTAAATAATAGCCAAGGTGACATTGCTATGATTTTAAAATTTTCATGATAATATTGAGCAAAAAAAAGAACATCTGAATACCTAATGCTCTTGAGGGAAAACTTTTGGGATAAATTTACAGTTTAATCCTATATATTATCCTCCTTGTCTCTAGATTTAGAGTGAAAAATTAGAGAGAGAATAAGAGAAGGAGAAACAAGAACAAAAGAGTAGACAAGGATTGCGTGGGAAAAAAATGGAAGAGAAGGAGTTTTTATTGTAGGTGATGTCGATGTATTAAATGTCGGCCATAGATTAAAGGGATTAGGTGCTTAAGTATTCCAGAAGGATATATGAAAGAGCATCTAGTACCTGAAAGTTTGTTTTTGCTCTTTTATGTTTTGAAAGCTTTATTTCAGGGCATTTTTGTCCTAAACCGTTATTTGCCATTAAGTTTGATCATTAAAGACACTGGTTAAACGGCATAATTTGACGATTAAACTTAACTATGGATAATATATTTAAATTTTTGTTTCATATTTTGATAAAGCTAATCCACAAAAAATCTGGGGTGTTTTTTGGAAATTTAATGTTTAATTTTGTTTTATCTAAAAATAAGAAATAAAATAATTTGGAATTTGAATTAGATTACAAAATAATTCACAAATAAAAAAAAAATGAGCTAGCTAAGAGGCCTAATTAGAGATTTATGGACAATCATTTTTAAAAATGTAAAAGTATAAAATTATTCATTTCAATATTCCTTTTAGGGAGAATCCCAATTAGATCTAGCTGAAATAACAAAATTCTAATTTAGGCTTACACTTTTAAAAAATTCCTAATCAAGTTGAGAGGTCTAATTAGAGATTTATGGATGTTATTAAAAGACCTAAAAAACATAAATGTAAAAGTAGGCTTGATTTCAGTTTGAAATATTTCATCTAGATTTAATTAAACATTTTTTCTTTATTTTTAGTTTGTTCCATGTTTTTGTTTTATTTTATATAAAACAAATAAAGATCTAACTATATATATATAAATATATTTAATTCATAATATAAAATTATTTGTTAAAAAATGAACTATCAAAATAAAGATATAAAAAAACTTAAAAACACATTGAAAATTTTTAAATCAAATGCTAATTTTTATGAAAAAATAATTTTTATTTTTGGTAAAATATTGAAAGAGGATTAAAATGTCTGCCATGTATTAGAGAATCAATGTGAACAAAAAATACAATAATAATTGAAAAAATGGAATGAGACAGTGTAATGGAATAATAGAAGAAGATAGTGGTAGGGAGGGGATTAGGAAGAGAAAAATTGATATTGAAAATGGTGGAGATTCATCAGTTGAAGCTATACATAGAAATGAGGATAGAAGCTGTGTGTGAGTTTTGAAAAGAAGGATAAGAAAGGGAGAAGAAAGAAGGGAGGTGTCAGTAGAGATGGGAAGGGAGATATAGAGAGAAGTAATGAGGTGATGGGTTTTGGAGAAGTGGTGTGAGGTGATGTCTTTTAACTAAGGGCCAATGATGCTTTTGTTGTGGCATTGTCAAGGCTTAGAGAGTGCTTTGACAGTTAAAAAGCTGAGGGAGGAGTGTTTTAAGAACAAGCCCTCAATTGTCTTCCTAATAGAAACAAGAATGAAGAATAAGAAGTTACAGAGATTGAGAAGCATGTGTCAATTGGATGAGGAGTTCTATATTGGACCAAAGGAGAGGAGTAGAGGTTTGGCCTTATAGTGGAAGAAGGAAGTGGTGGTCAATGTCTGGTATAATTCAAAGAACCTTATTCATGTGAGTATTACTTCTGCTACAGTTAAAATTCCTAAGTTTGTTACCTTTGTGT